CGGTTTCTCTGTCCCATTCCTGACGCCCCGCGGGCGGGGGGGACAGAGAGACCCGGTGCTGCCTGGGAGGAGTCAGAGATCTCCGTCGCAGATCCCGAAATGCCGGCCAGGTTCCCGTAAGGAGGTGGAAGGAGGAGGGGAGCTGGCAGAGGTGAGCTGGAGGTGCAGGAAGAGGAGGGTTAATGCCAGGCAGGGGCAGGGCTGTGGAGGGGGGGTCGCGCTGGCAGGGTGGGCGCACAGTGGGCTCCTGCCGACGGGATTGGGCTGGCAGGAGTTAATGGGGTGGCTCTTCCTTTTCCTCATCCTCTATATGAGGCTCCTGCCGGCTCCGGGCTCAGTTTGCTGCGGGAACCAGAGGGGCAGGAGCTGAGTGAGACCGGAGCATCCCATCCCTGCTTCCCCATCCCTGCATCCCCTGGGTGGGCTCAGGTGAGCAAGAACATCCCCCACCTGCCAATCCCAATGGTTGGCACAGGTCCTGGCCCCAGGGCTGGGCTGGGGACTGTGTGGGAACACTGGCAGGGGCAGTCACAGCCTGGGCTCTGCTGGGGGGTGACAAGACCCTGTGCTGGGGACATATTCCCTCAGCTGCCAGGAGCTCATCCCTCGGGAGCACAGGGCCAGACACACCATGTACCTCAATTTCCCCACCTGTACAGCGGAGTGGGTGCAGTGTGGAGCCAGTGGGCTGTGTGTGGAGGAGCGTGGCAGGGAGTTCCTGGGCCCTTTTCTCCCATGAACTCTGCTCTGCCCAGCCCAGTGTCCTCTGCTGTCACCGGGGAAGGCCTCGGGGCTGGGTCAGCTGGTGATGGCTCTTCAGGGCCATTCAGGCCTTTTGTGCTCACTGAAACCCTCTACTTGGGGCATTTACAGCCTCAGGCTCCTCCAGACTCCTTTCCCCAGCACCCACCTTCACCTCTGGATGCACACATGTGTGCTGGGGAGCAGACGAGCAAGGCCCGGAGCACCCCAGGGCTAAGGAAACCCCCCTGGCTCCGTGTCCCCCACGCACCGAGCAGGGGGAAACCTTCCCTGCCAAGGGGAGCACGGCTCAGGGACCCCAAAACACCCCCCAGCCCCTGCCCTGCTGCCCCCACACGCGGGGCAGCTCGCCAGCTCTCCTGAGCAGGGCTTTGTTGTGCCACCCCTGCTCTCGGAAAGGCAAGGCGGCGGCCGGCTCCGGTATTTTTTCCTGTTGGAAGCCGCTCCTGGGATGTGAGTGAAGCCGGCGGATGCTCGGCGCTTGTCTCTTCCTGCCCGTGGGCTGGTCCTGCCGGGGCTGGGATTGAGGGGACCCCCGGCTCTGCTTCACCCCCATCCTCCTCCTCACTGCTGCACCCTCGAGGCTAACCCTGACTCTCCTCTCTCCCCCCAGGGTGGAATCCAGGAGCTTGGAGAAGCTTCCAGAGCCTCCCCAGCCGCAGCACCGAACCTCCCACAACCACTTGGGAGGAGGAAACAGAGCGAGCGACCAGGAGCGACATTTCGGGGCGATGGTGCCCTTGGGCAGCCCCACTCTTGCCGTCTGTGCCTCCAGCAACCTGCGCCTCATGGCCCCCGGCCGCGGCTCCCCCCTGGCCTGGCTGAACCGGGGTCCCGAGTGCCCGGGGGAGCCGGGGGGCAGTGGGGGCCGGAGACCCAGCGCCGTGGAGCGGCTGGAGGCCGACAAGGCCAAATACGTCAAGTCACAGCAGGTCATCAGCCGGCGGCAGGAGCCGGCGCTGCGGGGCTCGCCCCGGCTGTCCCCTCTCGGCCGGCGCCTCCTGGCCCGCCAGCAGTGCAACGAGCTGTGCCAGGGCTCGGAGCTGGGCCGGGAGGGGCCCAGGAAGCTGCCGTGCCCCCCATCCCCCGTGTTGCGCCGCAGCGGCAGCAGGCGCCTGCTGAGACCCGACTCCCTCATCATCTACCGGCAGAAACGGGACTGCCTGGCTGGGGACAAGGAGAACGCCAAGGGCTCCGGGCTGGTGCGACGCCTCTTCCAGGGACCTCTCAGGGACAAGCCCCCCAGCTCCCCGCCAGCCAGGGGGCTGGGTGAGGGACCACCACCCCTGCAGAGCCCAGAGACCCCCATGCTGTGGGTGCCTGTGGAGAAGGAGGAGGCGAGGACACCGGGTGCCAGCAGCAGCAGTGGTGGCACCTTGCCCGTGCCCGGCAGCCCCCCGGCAGAGCCCCCACAGCCCCCCGGGAAGCAGGCGCTGGCCCTGCGCGTGTCGCTGCCGCTGTCGGAGCAGGAGCGCTTCTTCAACTACTGCGGGCTGGACCGGGCGCTGGTGGAGCTGCTGGGGCGGGAGCGGTTCGGGCCGGCGGGCTGGGACAGCTCCTCGGCTCGGCTCCTCGGCTCCTGCGAGTCGGAGCCCGGGCAGGCCTCGGGGGGCAGCGAGGGGGGCGCGGGGCCGGGCGAGGAGGAGCTGGAGGATGCCCGGCCTGGCTCTGCCGTGTCGGTGGTGGAGCGAAACGCCCGTGTCATCAAGTGGCTCTACGGCTGCCAGAGGGCCTGGGCGGCCGCCAAGGAGTCCACGGTCTGAGCAGAGACAGCCCGGCCGGGATGAGGACCCTCCCTGTGGCTCCTGCTGGCTGGACATATCCCCTCGCCCTCGCTGGATGTGGCCAAAGGGCTGGTGGCATCCATGATTTTGGTGTGGTGGGAACGCTGCAGGTTGGGAAGGCCACCAGGACCACCCTGGACCTCATGCTGAGCGTGGCAGGGGCACCTGAGGGGCAGGTGGGGAAGGGGCTCCCCTGGGTGAGTCTCTCTGTGGCCTCAGGGCTGGTGGGCTGCTGTCCTCCTGCTGTCCCCCATCTTCTCCATCCTCCCTGTCCCCCAGCCCAGGGTGGTGGGATGGTCCTGCAGCCCCCACTGACCACACACACCCCGCTCCAGCTGCAGGCTGGGGGTGTGGACAGAGCCCAAGCCCCTCATTGCAGGTAGGGCACACCCCACACCCCCTCCTCCCCAGAAGAGGAGCTGCTGGGGCCAGAGCAGCGCTCAATAAAGCTGTTTTGGGGGCATTTTTTTCTAGCCTGGCAGTGTGTGTGGTTTGTGTGGGTAGATGCTCTGGGGTGGGGGGAGAGGGGCATTTCCCCCTCCCTGCCATGGGAGTTGTGCTGCTCCAGGGGCAATGGTGGGGGGATGAGGGCAAGGAAAGCACTGGGTAGAGCTTGGGAAAAAGGACACCTTGGGGTCTTTAGTGCAGACACGACACTCAAACCCACTGCAGAGCCCTCGGGTGCAGACAGGAGGCTGCCCACCAGCAGTGTGGGGGGGGTGCAAGTACTGCTGGACAGTCCTGCTCATGCATCCTCCTCTAGTTGCCCTTGGGGGCGTTTTTATTCCGGATTTCAGCCAGTTTGCCGGCCAGGAAGCCCCAGTGGAAGGCCCCTTCCTCCGGCTCCCGCAGGTCGCTGCCATCCTCGCCCGGGGGCTCCCCGGGACTCTCATCCGGCTCCGGGGGGGGCACCCCCTTGTCCGGCCCTGCCGCCTGCTGCCACTTGGTAGCAAAGAGATCCCAAAATCCGGGTGCCTTCTCAGCCTGGGGCAGCTCAGGCGGCTCAGCAGCCAGTGGGCTGGGGAGAGAGTGGGGACAGGGACATAGGTGTGGGGACCCTTCTCCCCGGGTCCCACAAGGGCCAGAACTGTGACCCCCAAGCCCTCCATGTCCCCCCCTCCATGCCAGCTCTCCCCCAGGGCATAGGGCAGGGGAGGGGGACGCAGGTGATGGGATGGGGGGGATGAAGGGGCTGGGCAGTTGGATCCAGGTTCTGGGGTCCCCCTCAACCAATTTCCAACTTACTGGTCCGTGCAGGGCTCCGGGCTGAGCAGCTGGTGTTCGTCCTCGCGGGTGAAGAGGGATGAGAGCGTCCTCCAGCTCCGGGCACCCACCCCCTGCACCTGCGGGGGAGGCAGCACCGGGCTCACCGGGGACCCCCCGGATCCCAGCAACAACCCCCCCACACTTCCACCAGCCCCCTCCTCACCTTCCTCGCCAGCTGGGACACGGGGCTGGGCCCTTCCTCCATCAGCGCGGGGGTCTCGGCCGTCTCCATCAGCTCGGGGGGGTCTCCCTGCAATGAAGCCCCCCAGTGAGCACAGGGGTGCGGGCAGGGGGAGGGCAGGGGGGTCGGTCACCCCACTTTGGGGGGTCTCGGGCTTAGTGGGGACCCCCTCATCCCACCTCGTCCTGCAGCGCCCCGTCCGCCCGGGGCCCCCCGAGGGTCTGCAGCACTTTGGCCTTGTAGAGCCGCCAGAAGCCCTGGGCCATGGTGAGGGGCTCGGCGGGGCCGGAGCCGGCGGAGCTGCGGGCGGCGGGGCTGGGGAGGGTGGGGGGGGGGACCGAGTGGCGATCCGGTGGCTTCATTAAAGTTTCAGCGGCCACTTCCAATGCACAAAAGGAATCTGAGCCCGCGCTGAGCCGGGGGCAGCGCGGGGGCGCCTACTCCGGTCACCCCCCAACCCTCCCCTCCACCCCCGGCCCCAGCCCCCCCCCACAGTGCCCCTTGCCCACAGCTGACCCCCAGGGCGGGGACATCCCCCTCCCACGGCGCAGAGCAGGCGCTGGGGCCCCGAGCTCCCCCCGCCGCGTGTCCCTATTTATAATTGATCACGGAGGAAACACGATCAGCGCCGGGGACGCGGAGCGCTGAGCCCTGCCCGGCTCATCACAGCGGTGACCGGGGCAGCGCGGGGGGACACGGGGACAGCCCGGGGAGGTGGCACCGGGGGCTGGAGGAGGGTGGGGGACACGGCTATGCCCGGTGACCGTCAACGGGACCGGGACACTCCGGGCCGGGCACGTCCGGGGCTGAGCCGGGGGGGCGTGACCGCGGGGGGGGGGCGTGGCCTGCCGATGACGGGCGTGGCTTATCGCATAGCGGGAGTGGTCTACAGACTGTGGGCGGTGCCTGCATCTTCGTGGGCGTGGCCTGACCCTCAGTAGGCGTGGCGTAGGTCCGAGAGGGCGGGGCCCGCAGCCAGCTGCGCCTGCGCAGTGCGGGAGCCGGCCCGGCGTGGTGGCCGCCATGTCGCCGCGGAACGGCCGCCGCACCGGAGCCCATCGGGCGCACTCGCTCGCCCGCCAGCTCAAGACCAAGCGGCGCCGCCGCGACCTGGACGAGATCCACGTGGACATGAAGCCCGAGAACGCGGCGCGGCTGCTGCGCCAGGAGGTCGACCCCGACCTGCCGGGCTGCGCCCAGTTCTACTGCCTGCATTGCGCGTGCGTCACGGGGGGGGTGATGGGGAGGGGGGGTTCGAACCCTGGGATGGGGGGTGGGTGTCCTGGGCTTGGGGGTCCCAGACCCGTGGGATGGGGTTGCTCCGGTTCTGGAGGGGTTTTTGGGATGCTCCTGGAGAGGGAGGGCGTGTTCTGGTCCCAGAGGGGGGGTCTTGGCCCCGGGATGGGCTTGCCCTGGTCCTGGGGGGTCCATGGCTCCTTAGGTGGGCGGTGTCCCGCCTCCGGGGGGGGTTCTTGGATTGGGGAAGCTTGTCCCAGTCTCAGGGTGAACCCCAGCCCGTGGGGGACTGGCCCCTCAGCAGGGCTCTCCCCAGCCTTGCTCCCATCTCGGGGTCCCCCCTGACCCCCACCCTCTGTTCCCCCCCCAGGCGCTACTTCGTGGACATGAACAGCATGAAGGAGCACTTCAGGTCCAAAGTGCACAAGAAGAGGTGAGGAGGGGCCCGGACCCACAGTCCCCTCGGGATGGTGGTGGTGTCAGTCCTGGGCTGGTGCTGTCCTGAGGAGCGGGGTGGGAGCCTTGACAATCCCCCCGTGCCTCCCCCAGGCTGAAGCAGCTGCGGGAGACTCCGTACACGCAGGAGGAGGCCGAGCGCGCCGCGGGGATGGGCTCCTACGTCCCCCCAAAGAAGGTGGAGGTGCAGACCCAGCCCCTGGAGGAGGCCACTGAGATGGAGACGTCCAGCTGAGCCCTGGGTACGAGGGACTGAGATCTGGCGGCTCTGTGAGGGCGCCTTTGTCCTCAGCTTTGTGAGCAGAACACGTCCCAGCACAGCCTGCCAGGAAAAACCACCCTGCTCCTCCTGCAGCCCCGGGACTAACGAGGAGAAGGAGCCAAGGAGACCCTGGGTGCCCTCACTGTGTGTCCTCCTTCTCCAGGAAGGGACAAGCAGCTTGTTCCCTCAGCTTGTCCCTGGCAGGACTGTGCGCTCCTCTCGTTGCTTTTGGAGAGATTTTGGGTGTCTGTCCTTGGGTCAGAGGTTGTTGCAGCGATTCACCCATTAAAATATGTCAACTGAGATCCTGGAAGCATTGAAAGCTCTCTGGATATGAGGGGGACAGCCCCCCCGAGGGGTGTGGGGGCACCTCAGTGTTGTGCTCTTCCCCATCACCCAGAGGTGTCCATGCCATCCCAGAGGAACAGCCTCATCCCAGTGTTCCTGCCCTCCCAGCAGGGGCTTCCCAGGCAGCTTTTTTTGGGGTAATATGGGCTTGAGTGACCCCTTCAAGCATCAGTGAGCAGCTGGTTTGGGCCTCGAGAGGGGAGTGCTGGTGTCCTCTTGGTGGGGACACTTTGGGGCTCCTGTCCCCCAAAACTAACCAGTGATTTCATGGTCCTGGAGGGCTGGGGCTGCATGATCGCTCTCCCTGCTTTGTGTCTGCCAGACTGATGCTGCTGGTGACCCTGAGGGGACACTGTGTGACAATGCCACCACCCGCTGCTGCCACCGCGAATTCCTGCCATGAATTCCTGCACTGCCTGACCCCAATTCGTCCCTCCTGCTGTGCTGGGGACTGGGAATGAGCTGGGCATGGGGCTCCGGGCTGGAGCAGCAGGAAGGCAGAGCCACAACGCAGCTGTGCTGGGTAGGGAAGGGTTTATTTATTTCCACGCAGCCCGCCCGGATTTGTCCCCCCCGACCCTTTTGGGGGGGATGGAGAGCTGCAGCTCTGCGTGGAGTCGGGAGAGGGGGTGGTTCAGGAAGGCTGCAGCCGCCATCCCATCAGGATGTGCCTGCCCAGGGGACACGTCACCGACCCCGTGGCCCCACGTCCCCCCTGCCCCGTTACCTAACGGCGCTCGGCGCAGGCCTCATTCCTGGCGCATTCCCACAGGGACAGAGGGGGTCTTTGGCTGCCAGCGGGGTACCAGGGCCCCCTCCCGCCCCTCTGCTTCGGTGGGAGATGGAGATGGACGCAGCTCCTGGCTCCACCATCTGTCTGTCTGCCCCTTCAGCCTCTGATCTCGTGGCTGGATCCTGGCGTCTCACAGCAGCTCGGGAAGGGGCTCATCGGGAAGGGGCTCATCCGGCAGCTCCGGAGCTGGAGGCGGCTTCTCCATCCTCCATATCAGCTCCAAAAGCAGGGGCAGACAGGGACAGGCACGTGTGTCCCCTCCCCAGGGCACCGTCGCCTGCCCAGGCGTGGCGGGAAGGGCTGGATGTGGCGCAGGTCAGCCGGAAAGTCGCCGCAGCTCCGCTCAGATGGGGGATGGCGGGTGGAGGGGGACCCCGACACCCCCGTGGGGACTGTCCCCACGGCCCCGACAGTCCCCTCCTCACGGCTCTGGGGGGGCCTTGGCGGGGTCAGCCATTCTCCGGGCGCTGTAGAGGGACAGGCAGAGCCCGGCAGCCGCCAGCAGCAGGGCCAGGGGGGTCAGCAGCCGCCCCCCCGGCTCGGCCCCCCGTCCTGCCGCCAGCTGCATCTGTGGGGGGACAGAGGAGAGGAGAGGGGAGCGCTGGGGCACCCCAAATCCCAAACCCCACGGGAACAGGGGGCCTGAGGCCATGCCCTGAATGGCTCCATCATGCCTGATGGTGTCCAGGGGAAGGGGGCAGCTTTGTGCCCCCTCTGGGGTGTCCAGGGGGGCTTTTGGGGTGCTCCAAGCAGCACTCGCGGGACTCCACTGGCAGCACCCTCGCTGCTAACACGGAGCTGGGATGGAGCCGGGAATGGCTCCCACGGCCAGCAGGCCTGGTGGGTGACATGGGCACCATCCCGGGGGTCCCCATGGGCTGCCCCCAACCCACCCCCTTACCTGGAGCAGCCGGAAGTACCCCGGGGTCAAGCGCTTGGGGCGGATGATCATGGCGCGGTGGGGAGCAGCAGGATCAGGCTCCGTGGGGCGGCGGCGGGGCTGGGACCCCCCAGCACGAGGACCCCGACCCTGAGCACGGCGAGGGGTCCGTGCCTGTCTCCTGCCCGCCGGCCCCCTCGGGAAGGGCGGCACCGGGCGAGTGCAGAGCCGCTGTCAGCCGCGATCAGCGCCCGCTGCTCCCCCGAGCGCACACGCAGGGCGGGGGGGTTTGGGAGCCCAAACGGCGGCGGGGGGGCCAGAGCCAGCCCAGGACACGTTAGTGGGGCTGAAGAGCCGGGCTCAGCCACGGGGGAGCCCCTCTGCAGGCCTCAGTTGGGGGCTGCCCCTTGCCTCAGTTTCCCCCCTTGCAAAGGAAGGGGTGTGAATAGGCCTTGGGTGGGGGGTGACGCCCCAGAAACTTCCCATCCCTCATCTCTCATCCCTGGGAGGGCGTCATTCCTTGGATCTCGTTGAGGGTGGAGCAGAGGTCTGGCTATCACCACCATTTAGGCTGAGACCTGGCAAACTCATTTTATGGAGAGGCCTCTCCCACGAGCCAGGTGTCACCCCCTGGGGTCACCCAGCCAGGAGCCAGCGGGGACACCAGTGGGGAGGGGGCCAAGCAGGGGCTCCCTCAGGCTCTCCTGGGGGGGATCCGTGTGGCCAAACAGGGCAGCTGGGGGGCTCCCACTAGGGTCATGAGTGCTGTTGGGCCTCAGCTTTCACTACATGCGTTTTCCAGCAGCCCCATTTTCCAGGGGGGATTCCAGCAGCCCCATTTTCCAGGGGGGATTCCAGCAGCCCCATTTTCCAGGGGGGATTGCCGTGGCCGTGTGTCACCATCCCCATCGGGCCATGACTCACCTGGGGCGCGGCGCGGGGCCTCGCCCCGTGGGATGGTGCTGGGCAGGTGAGCGGCACCCGGGTGCTCCAATGGGGCTCCCGCTCCCGGCGCAGGTGGGAGCCGCTCCCGGCTCTCGCCGCCCATTCCGGCCCCGCCGCCATGGAGCCCGTGGGCTCCTGGGGCCCCGCAGAGGTGGCCGCCTGGCTCCGAGGTGAGACCCTCCACCCCCTGCCGGCTCCTGGCGTGGGGTGTCCCCACATTGGTGACATGTGGGTGGGTTGGTGTGGCTGGAGGGGGTTGGCAGCACTTCTTGTTCCTGGTCTCCTCCCCCTGGGAAGGGGCATTTTCCCTGGATCTTGCTGTGGGTGGAGTGGGGGTCTGGCCATCCCCACTGTTTAGGTTGAGACTCGGTGAACTTGTTGCATGAAGAGGGCCCTGCCATCAGCCAGGGGTCACCCCCTGGGATCGCTCAGCTGGCAGGGGGGTGCTGGTCTGTGGCAGGGCTGGATGCAGAGGTGCAGGGGTACCCCTTCGAGGCCTGGGAGCTGGCGGGGCCTGACCTGCTGGGGCTGGATGTGGAGGTCCTGGAGGCACTGGGAGTGTGGCCCCTGGGGCACCAGGAGCTGCTGCTGGAGGCCGTGGAGCAGCTCCGTGAGCTGGTGAGTGCAGGGACCCCTGGGGGCTGTGGGGAAACCAGGGAGGAAGGGGGGATTTGGGGGCACCCTGGGCTGGGTGAAGGTGGGGACACCCTGGACTTATTGGAGAGGGGATGTGGGGGGACCGTGGGCTGGATGGAGGGGAGGACATGGGGGCATCTTGGACTGGAGGAGGATGGGGGTTCACCCTGGGCTGTGTGGAAGGGGGGACACTGGGGCACCTTGAACTGGGTGGAGGAGGGAGTTGGGGACACTCTGTGCTGGTCGGAGCTGGGAATCAGGGCTGGGTGAAGGGGGGGATGTGGAGGCACCCCTGAGACCCTCACTGCCTCCCCATCCCCTGGTATCCATGTCCCCCCCAGGACGCAGGGCTGGCGAGCACCAGCCTGCGGACCCTGACAGAGAGGCTGCAGGAGCTGGCCCAGGGCATCCAGAGCCTGGTTCTGGGGGGGCTGCCGGCAGAGGATGCTCCCCAGCCACCCTCCCTCACCCTCCTGGCCCGAGTCATCGACCTGGTCGGGGCTGCCAAGGGACTCTTCTCCTGGCTCAACAGGTCCGAGGCAGGTGAGGGCCCCCCTGGGTGCTGGGTGACCCCCACACCGGGGGCTGAGCTCTGTGTCCCCCTCCAGGTACCTCTTCTCCACCCTCAACGACTTCTCGGCCAGCCAGGACATCGTCCTGCTGTGTGCCCAGCTGGCAGAGACGCTGCAGGCGGTGGGTGATGGGCACAGTGTCGGGGTTGGGGATGGGCACAGCTGGCAGCTCTTCTGTCCCCCCAAAACTCTGCTGGGCTGGAAGTGGGGTGAGAGGGGATGTGGTGTTCCCCACGGGGTCTCCCCAGCTGGGATGGAGCCATCCATTCCCACTCATCCCCGTATTTTGTTCCCCCAGGATTGTCCCGCAGCTGAGAGGGACAGGCAGATCCTGCGGATTGTAAGTGCTGTGGGTGAGGAAGGGGTGGCAGGCACGGGGCAGGGGTGCTGCCAGGGCCCATCTGAGCCCCCCCGCTGTCACCCACAGTGCCAGCACATCGTGGGCATCTGCGAGAGCATCGTGGGCTGCAGCCCCCCGGCGCTGCTGGACCGCAGGGCTGTGCTGGAGCAGGTGGGGCTGGCACTGCCCCCCGGTCCAAGGGGCAGCCCCCCGAGGTCCCCCAGCACCCCGACGCTGCCCCCAGGCCTGTGGCAGAGCCCCCCAACGTCCCCTGACTCGCCAACGCTGCCCCTCAGCCCATGGGGGAGCCCCCCAGTGTCCCCTGATATCTCGGTGCCACCCTCTGACCCCCTGCCACTCATCACCACCCCACTGGTGAGTCCCCACCACCCCAGTGCCCGCCACTGCCTCCAGAACCCCCCAGCCCCTGCTCAAATCCCCTTCCTGTCCCCACTCAGGGCTTTGAGATCACCTCCACCAGCTCCTGCCTGCACTTTGTGTCTGCGACCACCTGGGAGGTGAGTGAGGGGCTGCCCCTCCCCATCTGTCACCCCCCCAAGTGCCACCCTGTCCCTTTTAGCACCTGCCATGGGGAACTCCCCCAACCCATGGGGTCCTCTTAGGGCCCTAATCTGCATCCTGACCCAGGTCTGGGGGGGAGGGGGCTGCCTGCAGCTGAGAGTGTGCAACTCATCTCATGAGTGAGCACAGCCTGGGCACGGGGGGAGCCCCCTCTGCACCCCGATCCCACCGGCAGCACCGGCCGCTGCCGTGTAAGGTCGGGTTAATGGTTAATCCCTCCCCGGTCCAGGAGAGATCTTGAGTGTGGATTAGTTTGGGAAGAGGGGGTGGGAACCCGGGACTGGGCATTCCACTCCCACCCTGCCTCTGCCCAGGCCCTGTCTGCCCACGGGGGGCACATCCTGCCCGGGGACGAGATCGTGCAGGTCAATGAGCAGGTCGTGGTGAGTCGGAGGGGACGGGGCTGGTTTTGGCAGGGAGGTCAAGGACAGGGAGCTGCAGGGTCGGGGAGGCTGGGGGAAAATGGGGAGTGCAGCTGGGAGGATTTTGGGTGCACACAGGACATGCAGCCAGGAGGGATGGGACCTGTGGCTGGGGGGATTTTAGGGGGACTGTAGCTGGAGGGGCTTGGGGGAATATAGGAGTTGAGATCTGCAAAAAGCAAGACCCATGGCTGAGAATGGTCTGAGGGACACAGGAGCCACCGCTGGGGGGACTGGGGGATGTGGGATCTGTGCCAGGGGAGGGTTTGGGGGATGCAGCAGCTGTGGGGCCAGGGCCGTGTCCCACATCTCATCATGGGGCTGTGCAGGTGGGTTGGTCACGCGTCAACCTGGAGAAGAAGCTGCTGGAGAAGGCAAACGAGGTGACACTGGTGCTGAAGAAGATCCCCCTCGACCTGCCCTGCTCACCCCCCTCTCCCAGACAGCAGGTGAGTGATCCCAGTGCTCCCAGTTCATCCCAAGTGCCTCACTGAGACGTGCTGGGAACTGGGCAGAGATGCTGAGAGCCAGGCATCTCCCATCACACTGGTGATCCCTAAAGCTCTGGGGTCCGTGGTGGGGTGGGGCTGTCCCTGACACTCCATCCACAGCTCCCGGGAGCGTTTTCGGATGCTGCGGATTCCCCCGGCACCAGGAGTGGCGAGTGCCCAGGCAGCCCCGTGTCCCTGACCTCCAGGTGAGCCCCATCCCGACACCCCAACACCCCCAATCCAACAGCAAGGAGCTGTTTGGATGCCCCCAAGGCCCATTCCCAGCTCTCTTTTTGGGGTGAAGTCCCAGCGATGCAGCAGCTGCCTGCGAGCGGCCCGAGGAGCTGCCCAGTAGCCTTAAGGGACAGAAAAAAAAAAAAAGTGGGTTGTGTTTGTAATTCATTCACTTGGTAACGTTTTAGTGGGGTTGGAACTATATTTAGACATGACCCTTCTCCTCTCCCGGAATGGAAAGGCGTGCAGGGAGCCAACGGCAGGACACACCGGCCGGGCTCCCACCCCGCTGGGGACCACGGAGGTCTGGCGGAGCTGGTGCTGAGCCCCCACCACTGCGTCCCCTCCAGCCCCACTCCTCGGGCAGGGAGAACCGCGGGTGCCCCACCCAGAGGCCGCCAGTGGGATCCCCGCAGACGTCAAAGAGGTTTGTGGCTCAGGAATCCCGTTTTCCCCCAGCGCTGGTGCCGACTTGGACTCCGGGCCGGACTCCGCGCCAGATCCCGCCACTGAGGAAGAGGAGGAGGAGGAGAAGCAGGACCTGAGGCTGCCCGGGGTGGCCGTGGAGGAGCTGCAGGGACTGTCAGGACTGGGTAGGATGAGAGGAGAGGAGGGGACGGAGAGATTCCCCCCTCCAGGACAGGAGGCTGCAGCCCCACTCGCTGTTTGCAGGCGCTGCAGAGGAGGAGTGGGAGAGCGGCACCCCCTTGGACACCCCCTTGGACACCCCCTTGGACACCCCCCTGGGCACCCCACCGGGCATCCCAAACTCTCCGGGCACCTCTGCTGCCACCACAGAGCTGAGCCCCACGGCAGCCCCCACCACGGGGGCTGGGGGTGCAGAGCCCAGCCAGCTCCCTGGGGAGGTGAGAGCTGGCGGGGGGGGACACTGGGAGGGTGTCAGAGTGATGGGGGGGACACAGGACTTTGTGTGCTGCCTGTGGTGGGAGTCAAAATGCCTGTGACTGGGTGGGTTCCACTCTGAGCTCCCCTCTGGGCTCGCTGATGTGTGTGTGCGAGTTGGGGGGTCCCTAAGGGGGTCCCTGAGGGCTGTGTGTGCTGCTGGGGGGGCTCAGCTAAGGCTGCCCTGCCCTCACTCTGTGCTTGTCCCCATCTCCCCATCCAGGGCAGCCCCCAGACAGGACGCAGACCCAAAGGTGAGCAGGACCCTGCCAGGCTGGGGTGAAGGGGGCTGGGGGCTGCCCTTGGGGGGGCTCTGCTCCCCCTCCCCTGCCTTGACACCCCCCTGGCGCCGCGGTGGCAGGAGTGGCGACCCGGCTGAGCCGCCGGCGGGTCTCGTGCCGGGACCTGGGCCGGGTGGACTGCGATGGGTGGCTCCTCAAGAAGAAGGACCACGTGGGCTTCATGGCCCAGAAGTGGAAGCGCTGCTGGTTCGTGCTCAAGGGCCACACGCTCTACTGGTACAACCACCCCAACGTGAGTGGGGGCCACGGGGCGTCCTCGCCCCCCACTCCCACCTGGGCAGCTGGGATTCCCCAAGGTGGTGGTGTTGGACACGCTGTCCCCGTTCCTCGCAGGATGAGAAGGCTGCAGGACTCATCAACGTGGCCACCTACGACCTGGAGAGCACGAGGGAGCAGAAGAAGAAATAGTGAGTGGGGTCTGTCTCACCTCCCAGCTCGTGGTGGAAGGAAGGGGGGGGATGCTGTGCACGTGCTGATGAATCCTGCTGGGTATCACCTGCATGTCCCCATGGGGCTTGTGGGGTCCTCCTGGGGCTGGTGGGGTTCTTGCATGGCTGCGGGGTCCCCATGGGCCTGGTAGGGTTTCCAAGGGTCCCCAAAGGGTTTGCAATATTCTCTCCACACTGAGCAAGGCGTGCACTGTGCTCCTGGTATTATCCGGGATGAGGGCAAGGACATCTCCCAGGGCAGGGAGAAGCCCAGACCCCTGGGCTGGATTGGGATGGGGAGGCTGGAGGGGGCTTGTGGCTGGTTCTGTGTCAGCACAGCAGCCACCTGCCTGTCCTCAGCGTGTTCCAGCTGTGCCACCAGAGGTACAAGCCCTTTGTCTTCGCTGCCGAAACCTTGGCTGACCTGAGCATGTGAGTGACACACCCACTGGTGCTGGTCAGTGCCAGTCCTGTCCCTCCTGGGCTGGCCAGGACCCTCCTCTGCCTGTCTGCCTGTCCTTTCCCTCCCCAGGTGGGTCAGTCGGCTCATAACAGCCAAAACAAAGTACACACTCGCTCACCAGTCAGTTCCAGACAAGGAGGAAGGTAACGAGCCCTCCCCAGGGTGGGAGGTGGGGTCAGGGGGAGATGGGACCCTGTGGGAAGCTGGAGGTCCTGGTGGGGCAGCTGTGCCTGGTGCCACATCCCCTGTCTGGGACTGCTGGGAACTTTGCCTGTGATTTGTGGGAATGTGAGAAACCTCCCCCTGAGAGGGGTTTGGGGTGATGCTCAGCCCTTGGTGGGGGGATCTTCCCACTCCCACTGCCCTCTCCAGACTGCTACAGCGAGACAGAGGCCGAGGACCCCGATGATGAGTCTCCCAGGCACGGATGTGACTCGGTGAGTGGTCCTGGGGGACATCCTGGGGAGGGGACAGAGGTTCCTCCTCTCACCTCCTGCTCCATCTCTCCCCCAGCCGAGGAAGAGGCTGCAGAACCCCCCGGACAGAGCCCAGCTCTCCCCGGCCAGCGGCGAGTCCAGCAGCCCCCAGGGCAGCCCCCGGCCCTGCTCCCCCATGGGTAGGTGCTGGGGGTGGCATCTGTCACCCTGTCACCTTGTGTGCACCCTTTAATCACAGTCAGGGTGTTTAGATTGGATATTAAGAGGAAGTTCTTGGCTGTGGGTGTGACGAGGCCCTGGCACAAGTTTGCCCAGAGGAGCTGCGGCTGCCCCATCCCTGGAAGTGTCCAAGGCCAGGTTGGAGCAACCTGGGATAGTGGAAGGCATCCCTGCCCGTGCCAAGGGGTTGGAACTGGGTGATCGTTCAGATCGATCAGCGCCCCTCTCCCCTCTCCCAGACCCCGCCGGGGAGGACCTGGAGAGCCTGATGCGGTGCCTGAAGCAGGGCGGGGTGTCCCTCATGGGGCAGCGGCGGTTCCTGACGCAGGAGCAGTGCCGAAAATCCTTCCTGCGGCGCAACAAGAACCCGCACATCAACGAGAGGGTGCACGCCGTGCGGGCGCTGCAGAGCACGCTCAAGGTGGGACCCCCCCCAGCCCCCCGATTTCCCCTCCCCAACCCTCCCCCCGCCCCAACCCCTTGTGTGGCCACCCCAAAAACCTTCCCCTCGTCCCGGGCAGGCGAAGCTGGTGGAGCTGGAGGCGCTGGAGCAGCTGCTGGGAGAGGCTTCGCTCACCTCGGACACCTTCAGGCGCTGGAAGGAGGAGCACCAGGAGCTGTACCAGGAGCTGCGGGAGGGGTGGGCAGGGCGGCAGCGCCAGGGCCACGACGGGGGGTTTGGGGGCGAGCAGGAACCCCCTGGAGAGGCGGCTGGACCGTGACATCCCCCCGGGAGCCGGCGGGGATCGGTGCTGGCACAACTCGGGGGGCTGAGGACATTTTTGGCAGGCTCATCTCCTTCAGAGAGAGAGAGCGGCTCCCGCTGCCTCCACCCCCCGCTCCCCGGGGATGGGGGGCGTCGCTGAGACGATTCTTAGCTTTTTTTCAAAGGACATTTTTGAGTCTTACTTTTCCCAAGGACATTTTGGCTTGGCAGAGGGAAGGGGGGGGGGGCTGATCCTGGAGGGACGTGCCCCCACTCCGTGGTGCTGTGCCAAGGTGGGGGGCTGTAAATAAATTGTTGACAGGTACTGCTCGTGCCATGTTGTTTGTTTGTCGGAATCGTGGAATTGTTTAGGCTGGAAATGGGATCATGGCATCCAGCTGAACAGCACCCCTAAACCATGCTGCCACCGTCCCCAGCTGCCACATCCACGTGTTTTTTGAACACTTCCCAGCGGGGATGGTGACCCGGGGGGGGGGACGGTCGCAGAGATCCAGAAGGTCTCTCCCCGATCCCTCTCTCCCTCAGGCTGAGCTCCCTCGGCTCCCTCAGCCCCCGCCCTACGGGTGCCGCCCGCGGACACTCTTCCCCCGCCCGCAGCCGCCGCTCCCTCCGCGGCGCTGAGGCAGCGGGGTGGTGGTGGGCGGGGACAGCGTTCAGGGCGAGCCAATGAGCGGCGGGCAGGGGAGGGGCCGGCGCGCTGGATTGGCTGCGGCTCATGTGGATGCCCCGCCCCCGCGCAATACCACGCCCCTCCCTTCCCGGGCGGGCGGGGCTAACGGTCGCGGCGCGCGGCGGAGCCAGGTGAGGGAGCGGGAATGAGATACCGGGAATGAGATACCGGGAATGGGATACCGGCAATAACCACTGGGATACTGCTCCCCGGATCCTCAGGGACTGATTTGCCCCCCCCTTCTTGCCCCTCAGGGTCTTGCCTGTGCCTCCCCCCGCGCCGGGTCACCCACCTTGCCCTCTCCCCTCCCTCCACCCCAGTCGCTGTCCGGGGGTCCCCGGTGCTCTTCCCCACCCCGGGTTCACATCAGCATCAATCCCTCCCCTTCCGCGTGGTTCCTCGCCCTCTCCACGACCCACCGCTCCCTTCCCACCCCCTGCACCCGCTGCTGGAAGGGAGGGGTGGTGGGATTTGGGGGGGGTCCTCTCTCCCTGTGGTTTTGGGAGGGCGGTGCTGAGCGAGGTGGGAACGCTCTGGTTGTTTGGATTTGTTTTATTCCGAGAGCCCACGCTTGAATTTCCCTGTTGGAACTGTCTGACTGTAGTGCCTGAAGACTGAGATTTAAACTGGGGAATTTCAGAAATGCACCTAACTTACTAATTTCTACCCAAATATACCTAAATTATGATAAGCACTACATTCACCTAGAGGTGGTTTGTTTCTTCTCTCAGTGGAACGCTGCTTCTGGTTCGTTATCCTGTTATATTCCTAATTTCCCTCCTATGTTGTAAAATCTGTATGTGTATGTTTTCTAGGAATTAATGCCTTCTTTGAGCTCCTTGAATCAGTTTAGCAAGAATCTGTAAGAGCTGCCAGTTGAGAGTTTAGTCTGAGTGGAGAGAGGCCTTGAATTTCCACAGTGTAGCCTGAGAGCTGTAAATTGCACTTGTGTTATCAGAGACAGGAAATTCACTGTCTGAAGTACTCAGAGAAACAGATAAATTAACCCAAAGCTCTGGATAGATAAAAATTGCCATGCATGGAACAGCAAGGCTGATTTTTGAAGGACTTTACTCCTCGTGTAGTTGCTCAGTGACCTCTACAGAGGGCAAAAATGACCTGGTGGAGACTGAAGACTTTTAAAGATAAATTTGTGGTCTCTGTAGACACAGAGTCAGTGTGTAGGTACCGTGGTGACTGGTGCTCTATAAATACGTGCCATGAGGATAACACATGCACCAGCTGAAATGTGCTGCTGCGTGGAGAATGGTGTAAACAAGAATTATCCTCATTTTTCAGGTATAAAAAACCACCAAACCTCTTGTAAATTAAGTGTTGCCTCTGTTGCTGCAGGGCAAAACCAGCTATTTTTGGGAGGAGATGCTAATTAAATACAAAATACAGTGTTACCCTGATGTGTACGTACCCTTTGCTTGGTTACTGGGAACAGGGTTTGGGTTATATTGACCTAAAATACGATTTTCATTTACGTATCCAGTTCACTGGGTGGATAAGATGGCTGTTCCTGGGAGAGATGGAGACCTGAGGCTCCAGCAGAACAATCCACTGGGTAAGGGCAGACCTTTCTTTAAAGCCCTGCTGCTGTTGGATCCTGTTTCAGCTCCTCTGAGCGGACACGTGGCCCTGAGAAGATTCTTTACCAGGAGCTTTTTGTTCAGAAAAGTCTTATTCCTGCAAAAGTACACAAGGGCAGAGAATCATTTGATAATTAATTTCTCTCTGAAGCAATAACTGATGAATCTGGGAGAGTTCTTAACGGTTAATGCAAAAAATACACCTTTAATTTAGCCACTTCTGCTGTGCTGCTGCTGCTCTTTTTAGTCTGAGTATACCAGAGCATCAGCTGGGTGCGATATCATCAGACCCATCAATGGGAATATAATTTACTACTTTTGCATTCTGACTTTCATAACAAGATTGATTTTTCAGTCTCCTGTTGATATCATTTGACTTCCCTGTGCTTGCTACCATTTCCTTTTGCAAAAGAGATTTATCTAACAATAACACAGGGAGCGAAGCGAGGATCGGTTTGGGTTTTGGAAGTGCTGGTAATTAGATATGGCTGGATGGTATTAAAAGCTTTTTCAGTCTGTTGGCTGAAGCATAAACATCCCTTTTTTTTTTTTTTTTCCTCTCTCCAGATCCCAGCACTGGTCAGAAGAGCAAGTTCTTGGGGACTGACTGGAAAACACCCACGCTGTCGGTGAAGTCCCAGAGCCGCGTCAGTCGCTGTCCGAGCGTGGCTGACAGTGGGGACGGGGGCATCGGCACCTCCTGCTCGGACAGCACAGAAGGTGACGGTCCCCATGGGCTCCCAGAATGTAAAACTTGGAGAGCATACCCTGTAATGATGTTTGGAGGCTGTTTCAAATCTAGTGCCTTGGATGTGCTGCCTGGAGCATAACCAAGTGATGCAGGCACTGGCTGTTTCTCTGAGCTAGTTTGGTTCTCATCTACCTGCAGTGGTTTTAGCTGACAAAGAGCCACCTTGGGGATTTACTGGTTCATACTGACCAAAAAGTGATTTATCAGCAATTTTTTTTTTTAAGAAATAATTTACAATAATTTACTCTTTGTGCAGGATTGTTTGTCTCTTCAGTGTTAGCCGTGTGCTTCTCACTGAAGAACTCAGAGCCACGCCCTCAGCTGAGGCACATGCTGTGAAATTGCTCGTCCCAGCAATCCTTTCCACCTGTATTTTTCATCTTCATTGATCCTCCTTTCAGCAGTCAGGAAGTTTGTGGTGTGCTCTAGAAGCACTTCACACATCTGTTTCAGGAAGCTGCGTTGAGCCTTGGGAACGAGCTGCAGGTCTTAATCATTTGTGGGCAAATTGAAGGCTTTGGAAAGCCTGGCTGTTGGAAATATTGCTGAAGATATTACATGAGCACGTGTTTGTGTCCATCAAGCCTCTCTCAGGGTAATAAAACACCCTGAGCTGCAGGTGAGGGCAGGGGAAGGAAATTCCCCTTGCCTTGTTTGTAAGAGCCGAGGCTGACCTGCAGCCCTGGCCAGTGGCTCAGGCACTCTGAGCTCAGTACATTACTCAGAAATGTTGTTCTGATGACCCTTAGCACACTCAGGGAACCCATTGCAGCACCTGCACGTGGCATCTTGGTCAGGGAACTCGAGTTCCAGACGGTGACACCGGGGGGATAAATTTAGGGGCTGTAAAAGGAAACGGTACTGTCTCTTCTTTTGCTGAGGTGAACGTGCTTGTGACTGTACAGCAGCACAGTGTTCTCTGGAGTTCCCAGGCACAGCCAAGTAGTGGCAGAGAGATTTTCTGCCCCTCATTTCTCACTTGTGATGAAAGGATCTAGTGCCTTTATTGGGGTAATTTTCCTGCAGTGTCATGACGGTCTCTGCAGACTCTGATTTTGGTCGGATTCGAACTGTAATGTTCGTTCCTTGCGTCGCAATGCTTGGAGGGGACAAACAGGTGGAAGAGGGTGACTTGCAGTCCTGATGTTGCATTAAAGGAACATCATGTGGGGGTGGGCCTTTGGCCAAAGCCACGAGGAAAACAAGTTTGTGTAGCTGGGAGAAGCCTGGAATTCCTGCGATACAGAACGTATCGGGACAAGGATTCTCACGATACAGAACGTATCGGGACAAGGAGTGGGAAGGGGCACTTGACTGTTTGCCTTTCTAAGCCCTTGCTGTTGCTGTATGGAAATCTGAGAGTTGCTAAGAATAACCCCTGCCTGTGCAGCCAGGTTTGGTGCCCCTCTGGCAGGACGGGCTCGCGGGGTGCGTGCGCCGAGCTCTGCCTCATTTCCTGTGGCAATAAGGTGAGAGCCATTGCTCCAGGCTCTTTTGCCGCAGCGTCCTGGAGGAGCTGGAAGGTCAGACCCTCGGGTTCAGCTATGTTTGAGGCTCGCCATGGGCTCAGGGAAGGCTCCTGTTAGCTCTGGTTCTGGTTCGGAGTCGCAGCGGGACGGGCAGAGCAGGATTACGGTCTCAGTGTTCAGCTGAGTAAGTTTCAGCCTTTTTATTCGATGTGAAGGACTTGATTTCTAAACCTGTAGGGAGATAACCTGGTTGATTTAAGATTATGCTAGAGAAGCTTATAACTAAGGATTAAAAATGTGAACTGGATTAAACCTGGATTCTCCCTGTGGTTTTTGTGGTAGGAAAATGCCATCAGGTTCCTGAAATGTGTAATGAGGGGGAACATAGGTGTGCTTGAGGCTTTGCTGCTGCTGCTTAGGAGGATATGTTAAGGGGGAAAGGAACTGGTTTTAGAGTTATTTTGGAGAGTTCACTGGAGGAGTGCCTTTTCAGGATTGTAATCAGAATATCACTTTTTTTCTTTTTTTTTTTTTCCCCCCTAGATTTTTGCAATTCCAGTAACGGTTCCTCATTCCACCCCATCAAAACCCAGGTGACCATTCCAACAGCCCACATTATGCCTTCCACGCTGGGTGCCTCACCCTCCAAGCTGTGCTCTGCAGGAAACCAGGGCTGTTCCCAGGGCACTTCAAAGCCTGCCGTGCCAGGATCTGCCTCTGAACACTCAGGGCTCACGAGGAACGGGGATTTTAATGCTGGGAAGTCGTCTCAGGTGCCACCCAGGGATCTCCTGCGCCTCTACGGGGGCTCAGGGCAAAATGGCTTTGAGCAGCCCTGGCCCCATGCTGCTGATCCCACGAGAACAGAAGACCCTTGGAAGTTTGAAACCCCTGCCATGGAGCGCACCCTGAACCAGTCTCTCTTTCTGGACAGTTTGTGTGCTGACCCTCAGCACAGGTTCCAGAAGCTCAATCCAAACCCCGAGGCGGGGAAGGACCGTTTTAAGGTGCTGCCAGAGAGCCAACACGGGGCAGGGCCCGACGGAGTCTGCGAGCCCCGGGACGGGACGTGGCCCAGCGGGAGCAGAGCGATGCCAGCGGGACTCCAGGCCAACAATTTCTTCCCCAAACCCGTCGTGACTCCTCCATCCCGAGCGTGGGTGCCAGAAGGGTGCACCCTCCATCCTCACAAGGGGGTCTGCGAGCTCAGTGCCTGGAAACAGCAGCTGGACCAAGTGAGGCTGCAGGTGGAGCAGATGCAGGTAGGGAGCTGCTTGCAGTTTGAAACCCTTCAGTCAGGGATCACTGTGCCAGACTTAAGAGGCAAGGGGGGAAAATGTCTCCTTGCTTCTCCCTGTGTGACACTGGAAGACTCCTAATGATCTGTTTTTACAGCCTGTGGTGCCACAGGTATCGTTTGACACGTTCCATATGTAGAGCAGCTCTGGATTATGTTACAGTGCTGCAGCAGGGTCCAGATCGAGAGGTGAAATACCCCGTCTGCTGGAAACTGCAGGGAAAAAGAATGCCAGGAGGTTCTAAATAGTTTCTAGAATAATTTTATTCTGTATCTAGGGTTAAGAAAGGCTTTTTTTGTTTGTTTTAAAAGATGCATAAAACTAACTGCAGCTTATTAGGTGGAAACAGTTTGTTTACCACCTCCCACCAGCTGTACCTTAATGGAGACAAATTGTTTCCAGTGAGCTAGCACAGCGATCTAAAATTATTTGTTAATCTCCAGTTGTGCTTGGGCAAAGTTACTTGTTCTTGGACATCAACAGAGACTGAAATAGCCGTGTCCTGGCATGCAGATGAGCACACAGTGTGCAAAATAGCTCCAGCAATGTTGCAATTACCTCTGTGGGGCACAAACCTTTCCCTCCTTGTTCTGTTTCCTCCTGCAGTTACAAAACGGAGGCACCTGCCCCCATTCCTCGATGTACTCTCCATCCCTGCCTCCACCTGATCCAGCCCAGTGGATCAATATCCTGAACTCCAATGAAAACCTGCTCAAGGAGAAAGAGCTCCTCATCGACAGGTGAGGGTTTGACAGTGACTCCAGTGCATTTCTGTTTGGAAAGTACCAAGGAGAGCCCATTTCTCAGAGTCCCTTTAACCCATTTGAGCTTTTTTTTTTAATTGCAAAGAATGACCCATGAGAACAGCCTGAGCTCTCCTCCTCTCAGAATTAGGATGATGTTCCTGAAGGGTTCAAATAAATTAATTTTGGTTGTTTTCTGTGTTTTATAAGGAGTAGACATCTCTGTTTGCATCATGATTATCAGGAGTGTCCAAACTACTGCCTTTCTGCTTAAGGAATTTCTGGGAGCTCTCTTCTGTATGTCTGAGAACAGTTTGTGGGTTTTTTTTTTTTTACAGACAGAGGCAGCACATATCCCAGTTGGAGCAGAAAGTCCGGGAAAGTGAACTGCAGGTTCACAGTGCCCTGCTGGGCTGTCCAGCATCCTATGGAGATGTCTACATGCTTAGGCTGCAGGTAATGGGGTACAACAGGTGGCCCTCCCACTTCTCCTCAAGTGTTTGCTGAGCAGGAGTCAAATTATACTTTGTGTGGGGTCCTGATTACTCATCACCCCTGGGATCCTCAGCGTGACCCTTGAGATTTCCACCCCTGACGGATGAGAGCTCGTTCAGAAGCCTGTGCTAGTGATGCAAACACCTGGCAGCACTGACAGGTGCTATTTTGGACGCTGCAGCGTGTGAGATGGGCTGAGTGACGGTGTTTGGGAGTCGGGGAGGGACGAGGACACGGCTCTGGGACGGCACAGCTGCCGAGTGCCAGTTTGTAACCGACCAAACCCGGGGACCGTCTCTGACTGCAGGAGCTGCAGAGGGAGAACACGTTCCTGCGAGCACAGTTCACAGAGAAGACTGAATCCCTCAGCAAGGAGAACATTGAGTTGGAGAGGAAGCTGGCTGCTGCAGAGGTGGATGTGAAGCTGGCCCGGGAGTCGCTGAAGGAAGCTGTGCAGAAACATGCAGAGGAGTTAAAGAAACAGGAAGAGAGGGTAGGATCCCATTGCTCTAGAGAATGGGAAGGTGTGTTTTGTTTGAGAAGCTAAAAGTCAGTGTAGTGCTGAGATGGAACTCTTCTGTGGCAGTGATCTGCTCGTAGAGTACTTTGGTTTATAAGCAAAAGGCCTTTCTCCTGCAGGCAGAAGCATTTCAGTCCCTCCTCTTTTAACCAGAAGAGCGTGTCTTTAGCTAAATGAGCAGAAATGCTGCTGAGTGAAGGTGATCTTGTATTGTATTGTATTTTGGTGTTGAGTTCTGTGCAAAAAAGCTAAATGAGTGGCCTTACAGAAGACTGAAGAATAGATGAGAAATTAGATAAGCTAAACCTGTCTGTAACTACCCTTGCAGGTAAAGGGAAGAGACAAGCACATCAGTAACCTTAAAAAGAAATGCCAGAAGGAATCTGAACAGAGCAGAGAGAGACAGCAGAGAATTGAGACCCTGGAACGATACCTGGCTGATCTGCCCACCCTTGAGGAGCACCAGAAACAGAGTCAGAAGGTAAAACCTTCTCTGAGTTGTGAAGATGGCTCTTTACTCTTCACTTACTTTCTCAGGTGACTTTTCTACAACTGCAGTTACTCCCTTTTGTTACAGCTGAAGGATTCTGAACAGAAGAGCACTGCTCTGCAGGAAACAGTGCTGGCACTGGAAACAGAGCTTGGGGACATCCAGGCTGCTCTCAGGGAGCAGGAGATGCAGCTGGAAAACCAAAAACACAAGGAGATGGAGCTTCTCTCCACTGTGCGCAGGTAAGAACGAGGAGGATTAGAATAAGCTTCATCTTGGCACTGCAGCAATTGCTGCCCAAGGAGAGTGATGCTTCACTGTCCCACCTGTCAGACCAAGGTCACTGTGGATTTGTGATGCTTTCTGAGTGCTGACCAAAGCACTGTGTTCATATCCTGCCTTCCAGCAGCAGAGGGTGGGAGCAGAACCGCGTGGCTGAAAAAGGAGGCCCCTGTTTTGCCAGCTGGGTTTGTTTGTGTCCTCACCTGGGTCTGTTATTGCTCTCAGCTATAACTCCTTGCAAAATGGGCCTACTTGTGTGTCTGCAAAGGACCAGTGTCGCGGGCAGGGCTGTGTCCAGGGGCAAGGACTCCTTCCAGCACAGCCCTGGCAGTTTGTGAGCTGGGATGCAAATAGTTCTACACTGATATGAAAATAATTTCCCTCCTTGAAGTGAGGGAAACACCTTCAAGGTGTCTTTTCCCATGGTGTTTTGCTAACTTCAGCTTGCAGGATAAGCTGCAGCAGAGTGTAAAGAATGCAGAGAGAGGACCCGCTGCCCAGGATGGGGAGAGAAAGAAAATGGAACATGACTCTCTGAAGAAAGAATGCGACTGCCTCAAGAAGGTAAAGGGGCTGTCCCAGGCAGGAATCACACGTTTTTCCTTCCACTGAGTCACACCAGGCACTCAGATGAAATCAGGGACTTCTGCAGGCACAACTGCACTGAAGCAGCAGTTCCTGGAATTCAGACTGTGGGGTTCTAAACGCTGTTGTTGGTGTGAAAACCACACAGTCCTACAGTAACGCTGGGGAGAAGTTGCAGAAAGAAGAAGAGGGGAGAGGGAAACCACAAGAATACAACATCTCTGGTCTGTTTGTAGCTGATGTATCTAATGGTGCCTTTTAACAGGGAATCTAAGTCCACTCCTAACAGCAGCAGTGATTAAAGCAGTAAATGGACAGGGAAGAGAGAGAGAGAGGGGGCTGTCCTGCTGAAGGAGAAATCCTGGTGGTACTGCTGGCTCTGTGTGGCCAGTTCTGATGCCTCTGCTTTTGATTCCAGATCGTGGACAAAAAGCAGAAGAAGATGGAGCAGTTATCCTTGCAAGTAAAGGTGAGAGGTGGCTGGGGAGGGACCTCCAGCTGGAGAATCTGCTGTGAAATGAGTTAGACTTACTGTGTTCCTGTGATCTCTTCCAGAACCTGGAAGAACAGGTGGCTCAGGAAGAGGGGACAAGCCAAGCTCTGAAAGAAGAGGCGATGAGAAGGGAAAATGCACTGCAGCAGCTCCGGGCTGCTGTGAAAGAGGTCAGGGAGTGCTTGGAGTGCTTGAACATGGCACTGAACTGAGTGGATTGTCTTTCGTCAGGGCCCTGAGTCTGGAGTCAGCAGCACAACATCTGCTCCCTGCTAGCCAGTTATCCTGTCAGGGCTCTCAAAGGAGCTCTCCTCTGCTCAAATGCAGGAGGAAAAAGGCAGTTTCTTCTTCAGGAACTCGAGCTGGGGCTCGGGATGTGGTGGAGGAGGCCGAGCTTGCCACCTGGGGGCAGCAGGGCTGCGAGCTGGGCTGAGCCCTGCTCTCGAGCAAAGAAAGCTGAGCACAACGGCAGCCCTGGAAGGAAGGGATGGCCAGTGTCGGGGTGCCCAACCTCCTGAAAGCTTCTTTTGCTGCATTGTGGCTCGGCAGGGACGGTGCAGTGTCTCAGGGTGCTTCCTGTCCGAGCCAGGAGAGCCAAATCCTCACCCCTGTGTGGGACTGACGCTCATCTGGTGACAGTGTGGAGGGCTGGATGTAAAAACCACTCTCGCCCTCCGTGCTCCCATCACAGGGCAGCTGCATTAAGATGCTTTAAGTGTGGTAGTTCTGCCCCAAGTGCCCACTGACCCTCTGTGTCCCTGTGTCCAGCTCTCTGTGCAGAACCAGGAGCTGATCGAGAAGAACCTGACGCTCCAGGAGCGGCTCCGCCAGGCCGAGCTGACGGCCCAGCCCCTGCCCGCTGACACAGCCCGCCTCACCCAGGAGCTGCACGGGGAGCTGGCCATCTGCCTGCAGGATTTACAGTCTGTCTACAGCATCGTCACTCAGAGGGCTCAGGGCAAGGACCCCAACCTCTCTCTGCTCCTGGGCATTCACTGTAAGTACAGAGAGAAGGCAGAGCAAACCCTTCCGTTCCTGTGCTGTGGCGGAGTTAAATGAGTCACATAGAGCGTGGAATTGTCTTTCTGGGCTGTATGAACCCTAACCCTGTGGTTAGCTCACTCTAAAGGTGCATGCTGTCATAACTGAATGTTAAGTAGGGCCTCCTTTGCAAATGTGTGTTGGTTTTCCTGGCTGACTTGCAAATGTGTGCGATCCTTGGTCGGAATTGCATGTGAGGAAACTCCCTTCTCTGACTCCACAGCTGTGCAACACCCTGTGAAGGAGAAGGAAGACTTGCTGAGCCCTGATGGACTTGCAAAGAAAGTGGTGGAGGTAAAACAGCTTCACAAAGAGGTGGAGGAGTTAAGGACTGCGATATCTGACAGATATGCTCAGGATATGGGAGACAACTGCATCACCCAGTAAGGAGCACTCCCCAAAGTAAGACAGGAAATGAAGACTTGAAACCCTCGGGAGTCTTGAGCTCCTGCAACCCTAAACCTATTCAGCACTTTACCATCCCTCTGCTCGGGTACAAGAGATGTGACTTATCTGATCTGTGAGGGATCAGGGGGTTTGTTGCCAGAAGTGTTCAGCTGCTGACTGGAATCGTTCAGGGCTTCGGTGTCGGGCTTTGCAGTAGCTTTGATCTTGTGGAATGTGTTTTGTGCTGTGTTTGCTGGAGCTGGTGTGGTCTCTGACACTGGGAGATTGGATTCTGACTTGCCTTCCAGGCATGTCAAATGCTGAACATGCAAATGTGACAGTTAAAATCATCACTAGAAGGAAATGTATGCCCTGGTGTTTTCTGATAACTTCCCTGTGCAGGTCCTGTGTGACTTGTGAGACCAGAGGATTCTTGGAGTGTTCAGAGGATACCTGGATTTTGTAGGCAGGCAGGTGTGCTGGTATTTACACTGAGGTGCTTCTGGCTTGGATTTATGGAGCAGGACCTGCTTTCCTCAGGTAAATGCAACCAGAGTCTTTCAGTAGCCAGCATGAGTTGGAAATTAAGGCAACACTAAAAGACTCTGGAAATGCTCCCCCTGGGCACTGTTACCACAGAAGCCTTAAGCCTTTTGTCCCTCCCCAGATAGCACTGGGAGCTGGGTGTGACTCACACTGTAGAAGAAATGGATTGATGCTGAAGTGCCTTAATGTGCTGGAAAAACCCTCTGCCCCCACTCTGCTTCGTGCCTAATGCATCTGCTGGCAGATGAGGAGCTGCTGTTCCTTCTCACAGCCTTTTAGAGCTATCCCAAGCAATCCTGGGGATCCCTGAGTGTCTGTGGTCCCTGCCAGAGCTTCTCAGAGCCTCTGTGCCCCTGGGGACACACCTCTGGCTTGGCTCTCTGCTGCTTGACTGGGAGAAAGCCATACTGGTCCTAATGGGGGGAGATGACACAGAGAGCTCTTCCTGCAAGGCAGTGGCCGCTCGAGTTTTTTTGGAGCCCTGGGATTTCTAAATAAATCAGTGAGGGATAAGTTTCACTGCACCATGACCCCCCTAAACCTTAGTGGCAACTTTGCAGTACCGAGCCCTGGCTTGTGACAACGCTGTGGTGCTGAGGGTGGAACTTTGTTGGTTTTCAGCTTGAGTTAAGAGCAAGATACTAAACTGTAACAGGGAAAACTCCTCCTGAAACTTGTGCTGTTTGGTTGCTCTGGGTTTGGCAAAAATGGTTTTTTTTTGTTATTCCTTTGTGTTAAATTTTAAGACCAAATTTGTTTTGTTTTATAGTGTTTGGCCACCACGGGTGATGGTGGCCAGGAAATTGGTTGGTTTGTCCTGAGCTGCTCTCCCTGTGTCTGGTGTGTTACGTGCCTGGCTGTGCCTGTCCCCAGGCTGCTGGTGCCATGTACTGAGGGAAACACATTTCCAAGGCTATTCCTTGATGCTGTTTTTCCTGACTGCCGGGAGCTCTGCTGTCTCCTGCAGGTTCTCAGGGTGCTGTTGAGCACCATCCCCTTTCCCCCCCTTTGCTTTGGGGTGCAAGATCCAGTTCCCAGGTGCTTTGTGGGGACATGTTTGCCCTCTGCCCCCACGGAGCTGGTTGTGAGATGAGATTGTGGCCGAAATCACCTTGGCTGATGCTTTTGGAGCATCACCCTTGGCCCTGTGCCTGCAGTTGGGCTGCCCTGGTTGTGTGTTGCCCTCCATGGGGACGTGTCCCTTCATCATCCTCCTGCACGGCTGAACCTGTTTGGCTAAGAGGGTGATCCCAAGTGCCCTTTGCTGCTGGTGCACAGGAAATCTTGGACCCTTCACTACTGAACACCCCAGACCAGGGATGGGGAGCAGGATGGTGTTCCCTCCCTGTCCCTCCTTTCATCCCCATCCCCTTGTCCTGTGCGTGTGCCCCCGCCTCACTTCCCCGTGGGCTCAGTGTGTTGGTACCAGCCTGTGTCTTGTTGTTGCTTGTTTGTACCGAGTATTTTGATTATAAAATAAAGCTGCTCTGACCCACCCGTGCGAGGCTGTGCAGCGTGGGGAGGGAAGAGGGGGTACCCGGTGCCTGGTAGGGGCGGTGCTGGTGTCTCTCCGGGGCTGGTGCGCGGTAGGGGCGGTGACTCCCCGTTCCCGGTGCCGGTAGGGGCGGTGACCCCCCGGTGCCGGTAGGGGTGTTCACTCCCCGTTCCCGGTGCCGGTAGGGGTGTTCACCCCCAGTTCCCGGTGCCGGCAGGGGCGGTGGCTCCGGGCCGGCCCCGCAGATCCCGCATGCCCGTGCCCGTGGGCCCCATTGGCGCCCGCAGTCACATGCCGGGCGGTGGCGGAGCCTCCCGCTCCGCCCTCCTTCCCTCCCTCCCTCCCTCCCTCCCTTCCCTCGGTCCCTCCCGCCCCGCCGAGCCCCAGCCGAGCCTCTCCCTCCGCCGGGCTGAGCGCAGGGAGCGGCCGCGATCGCACCATGAGCACCCTCAAGGTGTACAGCACGTCGGTGACCGGCTCCCGGGAGGTGAGCGGCGCTCCGGCGCGCAGGGGTGGGGTGCGGCGGGGACCCCTCTTCCCGGGGGTGGGCGTCTCTCTTCCGTGGAGCTGCTAAGGCTCCCCCCCCACACCCTTCGCCCTATCTCAGGTGTCCCCTCCCCTGCTCTCGCTGCACCGGCCCCCTCATCCCCCACAGCCATCCATCCCTCCCTGCTGGGTGTCCCCCCCCGTGGCCAGGTGGGGTCTGCACTGTGAGCGCTGTGCCGAGCGGGGCTGGCGCGCTGGGGGTTTGCAACCTTCCCCCTCCTCCGGGCCCTTTTCCGTCTGCCCTTAACCTGCCTTTCCCACCCGGGCTCCAGATCAAATCCCAACAGAGCGAAGTAACCAGAATCCTCGATGGGAAAAACATCAAGTACGAGCTGGTGGATATCTCGCAGGACAATGCCCTCCGGGAGGAGATGAGGGCAAAGGCAGGCAACCCCAAAGCCATCCCGCCCCAGATCGTCAACGGAGACCAGTACTGTGGGGTGAGGCTCCCGTTCCGTGCTGGGGATCAGCACCCTGAGGTGGGGTGGTGGGTGACAGTCCCATCCCCTTGGTTTTGCTACAGAGGGTGTCAAGACACCCTGTGAGTTGTTTCTCGTGAGTCACACGGACGAGGTGCTGCCAGGATTTGTGGCCATTTGGGGCGCCGTGGCTTGGGGGAAAAGGGGATGTGGGCAGGGGTCTTTGGGTGACTGTGGGCTGTGCTTTGTGGGGCTGTCCCTGCTTTGCTCTGTCATCCTTGGCACAACCAGCTGGTCCCTGTGCTGTGAACCAGTTTGTGCCACGTTCTCGGGGGACCCTCTTGCCTTGTGAGCGACCGTGTGGCTTTTCCCTGCAGGATTACGAGCTCTTTGTGGAAGCGGTGGAGCAAAACACTCTGCAGGAGTTCCTGAAGCTGGCCTGAGCCCCGGCTCCTCTCCCTTCCTGGACTCTACCTGCATTCCTGAGCACCCTCACCTCCGACCACCTTCACTCCCAGGTTGTCAGCGCTGTCCTGGCACCGCGACCTGTGTTCCCGGCACAGGGAAACAAACCCGTGACCAAAACTCATTGCAGCTGCCTCCGATTCCCTCCCGCCTAACCCCGAGATCATCTCAGAGGGATCCAAAGAAAGTCTTGACGCTCGCTGCGTATGGCCTGTGAGCGGAGCCGGGCCTGGCTCACCGCAGCTTCCAGTGCCTCTGTAAACAGCAAAGCCTCGGGGGCGTGTGAAGTGCGGGGCAGCCTTCAGCCCCCTCCTCTGCCTCGGGAGGGAAGGAAGGGCTCAGGGCTCCATGTTACTTCCCACTTCTCCTAATTGCTGTTAAATTGTAAATTCCGCTGCCTCACTTCCTTTTTTTCCTCCCCCCCCGCCTTTTCATCTCGACTGTAGGCATTATGGCAACTAAGTGATTTTTTTTTTTGTTTGTCTTAATTTAATGCAAAAATACTGCACAGAGTTGGGGTCTGACCACCCACCGTGGAGGAGCTGGGGGCAAAGGCTGGGATCTGTGGCATCTGTGCTGCCTGGGGGGATGGATGGGGCTGGAAGTGAGATCTGTGCTGTTCTGGCCACCCTCCACCATGACCAGGGCTCCCTTGTGAGCATTAATAGCTCAGGGCTGCCCCAGACCAGCTGATGCTCCAGCTGTCTGATCTTTCCTCTTTGAGTTGGCTTTTTTGCAATCCCAGACCAAGTGCATTTTGTTTTCCTGCCAAAAAGCAAGTTTATAACCAGTGTTGTCTTCCGAGATGCTATTAAATGTTACTGTACCTTTCACGTTGGTGCTCCCTGCGTTTCTTTCAAATCTGGTTTTATTTTGACTACAGGTTAAACATCACCCCACGTAATGATTCTGAGTCACTTCCAGCTCTGAGGAGCCCAGTCGGTTGTACTCGCTGCTGCAGCCTGACACAAAGATCTTAACACCTTAGATTGCTGCTGCTAATCAGAGGCTCACAGGACTTGTCTGAGTGTCCCACGGCGTGGTAGTGACAGGTTCCTCACTCGAACATTCCTCTCCTCTGCGTGGTGAGAGCAACAGCCCGAGGCAGGGACAGCTTCAGCCAGACACGTGAGCAAAAAACAACCCCCTGGCACAAGGATTACCTGGCTGGATGTAGACCAGGAAAGGCTGCCCCTGGATCTACTGCAGGTGGAAAAAGGAGGAAGCTGAGTGAGAGCTGGGTGGGTTGAGTCACTGGTCACGGGAAGCCGGTGGAAGCAGCTGGTTTGCTTCCTGCATTTGAGTTGTGGCAGGGTCCAGCTCCAGCTGGAGGGGTCTGGGAAGAGCTCTGGGCACCCTGAGCTTCCGCAGTAACTGTGCCTTTTGGAATCTAAAGGAAGTGGAAGCTGCAACAGGAATAAAGGGTTTCACTGGGAGCCTTTAATGAGGGCTGGGTCTGCTCACAGGGAACCTGCCAGAAGGCGCTGCCTCGAGTGAGTGGGAGTGTTGTCAGCTGGGAGTCAAGTGGGAGCTTGTCACAGCTGGAATGGGAAGAATGTGCTGGGGAAGGGGAAAAGGGCCTGCAAAGTGCAGCCCCAGCCCACGGAGCAGGAGGAAGATGCTTTATTCAGGGCTCCGTGGAGAAGCCGCGGAGGGATTACGCTCTTCTCCAATGACACGGTGTCCTGTTGCAGCATCCAGCTCCAGCAGGAGGAGGAGGAGGAGGGAGGGAGGGAGGGCGGGTGAGTGAGTGCAGGCAGGCTGGAGCCTGGGCCCCGCTGGAGCTGGGGGCTGTCCAAGGGAAGGAGTTGTGCACGTACAGGAAGCCCAGCAGCAGGATCTCCCGGCTGAGTCGAGTCTGGCTCGGTCCCAGCATTGCAACGGCTCAAGGCCTTCAGGTTTAGCTTCACCAGGGACCGTAGGACTGGGCCTGTCTCTCCCCTGGTGTCAGTGCAGTTGAAATCTGGGGGGACCAGCCATGTGTGGAAAGCAAACTGCCCCTGGCTGTGTGTCTGCCCTGATGCTATAGAGTCCCTGAGCCCAGTACCAGCGTGAAGCTGGTGGGCTCCCCTGGGCAGAGATCAGCTTCTCTAACTCCACACAAGTGAGGAACCAGGCCTGGATCCCAGGTGTGAGCTGGTGGAAGTGTCCCTGGGTTGGGAGCCCACCTGTGTTGGGGAACAGCACCCACTGTGAGGCAGCAGGAGTGGGCCTGGCACCCTCTGCCACAGGGAGAGGTGAAACCACTGCTCCAGGCTTTTTTCCATCCCAGGTAATGGCACAAGGAAACTAAATCTGGAAAGGAAACCTCTTCCCAGCCAGGGCAGGTTATAACAGGTGAGAGGCAGCTCCTTCTCCTTACAGAGCTTGGGATGAGGAGCTGTTACGGTGTTTGCAGCCCTGTCCCTCTTGCTGGGAAGGGTCTCTTCTCCTCAGCAGCAAGGAGGCACTGGGGATCAGCCCACATTCCTGCAGGCTCCTGGAGTTGTCCGTGTACAGCCTCTTGGGAAAGGTGCTGATGATCTCATACGAGTCGGAGTCTCCACCCCTAGGAAAGAACAGCACAATCTTTCCTACTCGCAGGGTCCCCAAAGGTTTTGCTGAGATGCTCTGGCTGATCCAGCTGTGGTTATGCAAGAGCAGAAAAAAAAGGGCTCCCAGCCCTCTGCAGCCAGCCAGGCACTGAGCAGCTGTTCCAGCTGCACAGCTGCAGGGGGAAGGAGGCTCCTGCATCCCGACAGCACTGAGCTCATCCTGGGCTCAGACCAAGGCCAGGGCCCTGGCCTGCAACAGCAGTGGGAAGAGGGGAGGGCAAAAGGGGCCCTCAGCCATCTGGAACTGTCCCCAAAGGGCTGAGTGAGTCCCTGGGCAGCATCAGATGGGTTGGGATGTTGAGATGGCTGAGCAGAGTGGGTGTTGATCCAGCAGCCAAGCAAAGGCTGCACCAGCACCTTGGGAATTGTGGCACTACTCATGGGAGTGCTGCTGAGCAAAGGCAGGGATGGCCTGGGTCTGATGGCAGTTCTGGGAGGGCAGAAGAGGTTTGTCTCTGCTGCTGCATGGCAAAGGTGGGTATGAGACACTCTGAGCTATGTGGGACCTCGGCAGTTCTGCCTGCAGAGCGTCTAGTGAGGGAGCTGAAGGGGCACAGGGCTGATGTTTGAAGATCCAGGGCCTTCAGCAGCCACCAGGAGCCCTTCCCTGGTGCCCTGCAGAGCCAGGCAAGGATGGGAGGAAGTCCTGGGCACACCTGATGTGGGTGAGATGCTGGCGCAGGTCCCCGATGGTGTCAGTGAAGAGCATCCTCACAAGGTGCGTGTGCTCCCCGCTCTCCGACCTGACACGGAGGGTGCAGACTCCAGGGGGAGGAGCTTCAGCCTCTCCAGTCATCTTCACCCTGGTTAGAAAACCCTGTCAGCCAAGGAGGGAGCTCTACTCAGCGGGCAGAACCTCCAGGATGTGCTGGTGAGGTCTGAACAGGGGAGAGGGAACGTTCTAGAGAGGAACGAGGCCCCACCTGACTGCAGGCAAACAGGCTGAGCCACTGCCCAAACTGCTGCTTTGCTTTCCCTGCCTGAAGGTGCCTTGAAGAGGGTTGTTGGCCTTTTTTAGCTTTCTCATTTTAAATCAGGGCTGTCTGGTAAGTGCTTTGCCCTACTTCTCTGATTAAAAATAATCTTTTTTTTTTTTTTCTTTTCATTAGCTATTTGGGTCTTGGCTTGCCAGAAGACTGAGTGGAAAAGTGCTGTTAGTGAGACCTCCCACTTGGGCATCGGTTTCTTGGAGGGATTCTCCCATTTAACGTGACTTCAAACTCTTGGGCCTTGGCTTGTTGTTGGGAAAACTATTTCACAGAAATAAGTGACATTTGTTAGAGATGCAAAGTATGGCAGGTTTGCCATGAGAAATTCAGTGGTCTTCCCAAACGACCAAACTTGACCTTTTTTTTTTTAATTATTTCTAAGGTCTAAAAGGGGAAAGTCCATTTATTTCCTCAACTGAACCCCCTGAAGTAAACCTGCAGCGATGAAATAGGAGGAGGAGATCCTGGCAGGGCAGGGGTTTGGGGGGCTGTACCTGCACCTCTCCAGGGCAGCCAGCCTGGGTGTCTCCAGCAGGGTCTCTTCGCTGCTCTGCACCCCCTCAGAGCCCTGAAACCAAACCAGATGAGTGTCACCACAGCCCAGAGAGCAGCCAAAGTGCCATGTGTGCTCTGGTGGAGCCTCTCTGGGAAGAGGAGATCACACGGAGCTGAGAGGCCCAAGGAGGGGGTGCTGGTGCTGTGCAGGGTGCTGAGCCCAAGGAATCACTGCTGCCCCTCTCCCGTGGGTGGCTGGGCGTCCTCTCGTACCTGCTGTGCTGCTCCAGTTGGGCCCTGGACACCAACCACTCCTCCTCTGTGTTCCAGGGGCTTGGGAAGCTCGTTGGGAAACTGCTCCAAGGAGGCTTTGGGACCTGCCAGGGCAGAGGGGAGATGTGTCCATGTGTGACCTTCTTGACAGACATTCTGACCCCAGAACAGGCTGATTTGGTGAAAGGAGAACACGCAGCAGCCAACAGGGAGAGCTCTCACCACCCCCAGCGAGGCAGAGACTCGCTCTTGGGTTCCTCCCCTTGAAGTTTGTCCCACTTTCTGGCCCACTAAATGTCTGATTGTCAACATCAACAGTGAGAACTGCACAGCCTGTTCAGCACAGCTGGGATGCACAGCAGGTAGAAACCTGGATAGCTCTGCTGTGAAAAACTGAAACCATCACCATTTTTTAGGGTCTCAGACAATGTTTCCCCTTGTGAGGGTGTATTTGTTGGTGTCCACTCCTTTTTGTTTGGAAATTGTTATTTATTTATTTATTTATTTTACACTACTTAGCTAAAGGGAATGTTTAGCAGAGCTTCTGTTTGGGAATAGCCTTGAGGTGAACAAGCAAGCAGTTCAGCTGTAGGTAACCAGGCAGCTGTTGCTGATGGGAGAGGAATGTCTTGGGTTATTTAGTGATGCACGCACAAACCCACTGGTTTCTGTCTCTGACTGACTGAGTCTGACTTCCCAACCCCGACAGGTATTGCTAATGCAGACTGTGACAGTCTAGAAGCAAAAGGAGGTATCTGTGGCCTGACCTTATGTCCCATATTCTGTTATGAAAGTCTGAAGAGAAACTGTCCTATATTCAGTACAGTTAAGGCTGATGTGGCTTGAAGATAATCTGCATTTATGGAATGAGGCTGTAGGAGAGCAGAGGTTTCTTTGCCAGCGAACCCCTCCCTCAGCCTTTGATGGTGGTAAAGGTGAAAGTAGGAGGAGCTTGGCCTTTCAGAAGGGTGCAGGGCATATATGTTTTGGAAACCTGCTGAATTTCTGATAATTTATTACTTGTCATGTCTCATTCTTTAGGAGATGAATGATGAGAGGACACTGTGCATGTTGCCTGGCTCCCAGCTCCTGAAGCAACACCAGGCCCTGACCCACAAGTGTTGCCTTCCTTGCTGAGACACCCCCCAACACCCTCCTTCCTGCTGCACTGCCATGGTAAGGTTTAGAAGTTCTCCCCCTTTGAAAATTAGCTGTATTTTTTGAGGCAGGCTTAAGATTTTACCTGGGATCTCGGTGGTTTCCTGCACTTGGTTTGATTGTGGATGACCAACCATTTGGCCATGGCCAGGAAAACTCCTTGGAAGGTCCCTCTCCTCAAACACCACGTCCCTTCTGTCAGCGACCTGATGAATTAAGTCCAACTGCCATAAGCAAATCTGACTTGCACAAGCTTCTCTTGCTGCATCAGAGCACGATAAACCACAGCAATGACACCCAACAGTCGTAAACCCCAAACAAAACCAATGATGCACAGGTTAAAAGGAACCTCAGCCCCAAGAGCTTTGCTCAATCCCCCTTCCACGTGACTTTCTAACTTCCCAGCTCACTCCAGCTGGACTGACCTTGTCTTGCCCCTGCAGCTGTGCCCTGGTTTCTTCGTGGCAGGTCCAGCCTCTGGTTGTTCCTGCTTACGTTTCAGATGCACTCGGAGCCCTAGATTCGAGTCCTCTGAGGCTTTTCTGCCTGCAAATGTGGCCTTGGCTCTTTGCCATTTCTGAGAAATCGAAAAGTGGGGCCCAAAAGAACCTCAGGTGGCCAAAACCATTTAAGGTGGGCAGAATAAACTCTCACGACATCCTCTTTGAGAGACACTCGTTCAGTCTGGTTTTAAAAGCTTTTCCAGGGGAACCATTTGAGAACCCTTTTTTTTTTTTTTTTTTTTTTTTTTTTTTTTTTTTTTTTTTTTTTTTTGTGCCTTTGAGTGACACAGCTCTTCAGATGCCGCACGTGCCACGTCTCTTACAGAGCCTGCTGTGCTCTTAGAAGCCTTGTTCCCAGCCAAGGTTCACTGAGGCAGAGAAACCCTTCAGTGCTGATGCAGAAACACTCGCTCACTTCCTCTAACGGCTGTAAGCAGGTGTGCTCCCCGCTTCCCTTTCCCCCAGACACACCTGCACAGCATCACCAACCTCAAACTCAGTCCAGCAGGTCGATGACAGAAACCTGAACAGTTTTCTTGGCAAGGAAGAGAGAAATCTCTCCCCAAAAAAACAGCTGGTGGAAAGGGTTTGGCGCCTACCTGCAAAGGGATGCCGTCGGGGTAGCGCTGCTGCAGCTCTGAGGGGAAATACCCATCCATGATGTCCTGCAGGCATTGCTGAAACAAAATGAGAGCTCATGGTCACACCACAGACTTTCTGTTTAGCTCAGGACTGATCTTTCTGCTGGGCTGCTCCTGTTTGTGGTGTTATGGCCGTGCAGAGAAGTCGGAGACGCAGAATCTCCTCTCTAAAAATGACTGCACGAAGACATGCAAGGCTTTCAGGGCACTGTGGGAACATGAGGTGAGGAGCTGGGCTCCTTTTTAGGACTGAGACGAGCTCAAAAGCCTGATTGCCTTTTCTGGGGCTTAGTGAAGGACGGCAGGGTGGCTCTAATTCCCTTCCAGACCTTTCCATACCTGCGTGGATGGGTCCTGGTAGGGCCGGAAGGCTCCGTTGCACATGACGATCCCATTTTGGTAGAGGGTGAGAGGGACTGGTTCTGGCTGCTTCAGCCGAGCCCCCCGGAGTGTGTGCTTGATTTGAGAGCTGCCTTCTCCAGCCAGCAGGTTCAAATATTTAACGTTCTCCAAGATTAAATCAAAATCAATCCGGTGCTTGGAAACAACTGCTTCGCCTGCGGCAGAGGGATCTGGGTTACAGGGGGAAGGGGGTGGCGGCAGCAGAGCAGCTTCTTATCTGCGTGAATTTGAGGTGTGTTTTGAGCCCTGGCATTTTCACATGTTTGCAGAGTGTGGTGCAACACTCCTGCTGTGGTGCAGCGCTGTCAGGTCCACATGGGCGTGGGCTAAAACCACAAGGGCAGGGCAGAGGGTGCAAACTCAACAGGGCTCCGGGCTCAGCCCCTCGCCTTGTTTATCACTTCAGGAGCGTTGTGTTGTCCCTGCACAATGCACGGGGAGGAATTTCACTAGTTGGATTAGCTAGATTGGATCAGTGGATCAGGGCAGAGGTGCTGAACAAGTGTCTGTAAACACAGGCAGCAGGTTGGGCAGGGACACTGTGAGGACGTATGTCTGGGTGCTGGAGGGTGGTAGGGTGAAGCAGGTTGTGAAAAGGTTGTGATGGGGCAGAGGAATGAAATCAGAAGGGGAAATGAAAGAAAAGATGTAGATTGAGCTAAAGCCCTTTGTGCTGTTGTTCTGCTTTTTTATGACTTGCTGAAGGAGAATGGGGAAATGCCCTTAAAAAAGGGTCAATGAGCTGGTATCAAAACTATTTCTACTGATTTCCATCTGTCTGTCCCCTCCTCCATCTAAGGCTGGGGAAGGTCTAGTTAACTGATATTTGCATGGTGGTTAGGAGGCAGCCTTGGCTCAACAGCCCAAATATTCTTCCTTTTTTTCCTCTGATACCACTTCCTAAGAAGTCGTTGCCAAACATGCTTGGACCCCACACAGCACAGTCAGGTCTCAATTAAACCACTCACGTGGTAGTTGGGAGGAAAGGCAAACAATACTCCCTGGTGGAGCCAGACAATGTGGGTAAATTACTACAACTCCTGTGTACACAAAGCACCTGATTCCGTTTTCCACCCACTTTACGTCAATATTATTAAAGCAATCAAGCTTCAAACGGTGCAGGGCCTGTGAATTCTGCAAGAATCAGCTGCTGTGACATCCTCCCGAAGGGCTGAGCCATCAGGTTCTCTCCTGAAGAGCTTACAAAATATAGGGGTATAAAATTAAACCTCCTGCCTGGCTTAGCTCCTGCAAGGTCACTCCGTGTCCCCGCCCCTGGGATGGATTGATGTGAAGGTCTTGGCACAGGATCACAGATTCTGAAAGCCCAGATCCTGGGGGGGGTTTTTTTGTGCTTATCTTACTCCCTCTTCTCTAAGCAGGCAGTGGGAGCTGGGGATAGCTGGTGCTTTACCTGGCTTCCAGAGGCTCCTTGGTCGTAGCTCCTCTTCATCCCCGAGAGATCCTGTGTCTTCCAGCTGATCCTGGGTCTCTCCGACCCAAATCAGGCCGTAGTCATTCAGAAACCGCTGGGAGGGGAAAGTTTACAAGTCAGTGCTGTGGAGCAGAGCTTCAGAAAACTACAAATGGAAGCCTGAGTGTGCTCAGTTGTGACTGTGAGAAGCAGAAAGGGAGGTAGAAGAGGTTTGTCTTGGGGGCTCCTTGGCCCAGACAGACAGACAGACTCACTGGCAGGGCAGCAGTAGCAGCTCCACTAGGAGTGGGCAAAAGGGAGGAGGAAACCATTGGTAGTGCCAGTGTAATCTCTAGGAGCCACAGAGAATATTTCTACAGTCCTGGAAACCCAAATGAAGAGGCTTGCAGGAGGCACAGATGTCTGTGTAATTTAAAAGCCTCCTTCTGCCCTCTTGTTCACATCCAACCTGCTCTCTCTTTCCAGACTGAGGTGAAGAACTGTGAGGATCAAAGTGGCAGCTCGGGAAAAGGCCAAGCAGCCTGGGACTGCAGGGACCTCAGAGTGAAGGTGCAGATGGCTGAGGGCAAGGGAAGCTGGTGTCTCACCTCCATCTCGCTGACCTGGGCCTGCAGCTGAAGGCATCTCACTTCCAGCTCTTCTAGGGTGGATGAGTCAGGAGCACCTGAAAAAGAAGAGCTGATGCTTCTGTGCACAGCCCTAAAGAAGAGCTGTGGATGAAACCTGTGTCACACAGCCCAGAGCCCCAGCAGCACCCTGCCTGCATTTGTGAGTGACCACAGGAGCTGAACACGAGCTTTGTGTGCTGGACTCTGACAATTCAGCCTGCAGTGGTTTGACAAGGACGCCGAGAGACCAAGAGATAGCTGTGAACGACACTGGCCAAGTTTTATGCTGCAGGAAGCTGCTGTGAGCGGTGCTGTTGGCAATGATGCAATGAAAACTGCTCGGTTTCCTCGGCCCGTTAAAGAAAAAAAAAAAAAGAGCAGGTGTCCACTAAAGCTGGGTCCAGAAATCCTGGCTGAGTGACAGCACAGCGCATGGCGAGGCACAAACCACACATGTTTGAGGTTTGACAGGCACAGTCGTGTTTTTTTCGCTCAGGAAATGGAGAATTTACCACAGCTTTGCACTAATAAGGTAGTTCAGCCATTGCAGAAAACCGTGTGTGGGCTCAGCTGGAGAGCTGCTGGATTCCAAGGAACTGAACAGGGGAAAAGACCTTCGGTGACTCACTTAAAGCTGGGTTCAATTTAGAGTTAGGCTGCCTTGCAGGACAAGTGGACCTGTTGGAGACTCCAAGCAGATTTTTGGTTTCTTTCAGCTGTAGCTGTTTTCCTGCCTGTTTGAACTCTGCAGTGTTTACTGATATTTTTCTTGTTATTTTTTTTTTTTTTCCCCCCTGGCCATCCTGGGGTGTCTGGGTGGTTGGTTTACCCTCATGGAAACTTAGTAACCCACAGAAAATAGGCCAGGAAATGACGATTTGCGCCGCACCAGAAAAAGCCAAAGAACAGATGCAAGTTAGAAGTGCAGATCTGCTTTAGGAAATGGCACCAGTGTGGCTGGTACCTCTCACCAAAGAGGCTCCTGGGCTTTGGAGCCAAGGGCAGCTCAGGGAGGAGCTCTCTTGCAGCACCAGGAGCTCTGTTGCCCTCCCAGAGGTGCCAAAGGTAGATCAAGTTTTACCTTCCCCTCCCTGAAGAGCCTTTATCTTCTCCTCGAGCTCAGCAATCCTCCTGTCCTGCAGGGACAGAACAAATAATGACCTCACTCAGTTCCTGGGCCTCGGGACCTCGAGATTTACACTGTTAGTCCTGGGTGAGTCCTGGTGCAGGTGCTCCCACCCCACTCAGAGACAGGCAAAATAAGGGTCAGAAGGGCTGAATCACCTCAAAAACACCTTAATTAAGCTCAAGTTGAGGGGTGGGATAGATAGAGAACTCCAGGAAGAGGTGATCTATCTCCCAGCCCTCCACCTGCACGAGAGCTGTGGGCACACACAGGCTCCTGTGCTTCCTGCTGAGGGGCTGTTCTAGAGACTAAACCAGCATCTCTGCAGCCCCTTCTTCAAAAATCAAACAAAACAGGGTGCTTATTCCAAGCTTTTAAAGGGTACAGATTAACTTCTTTTAGCCCAAATGAGTTCTGAGCAGGTGGAACTGCTGTGGCTGACTTTTTTTACCTTTAGCTGGATTTCTTGTGCTTGTTTCTCTACTGTTTGTTCCAGCAGAGAGATTTTTTGCATCGTGGAGGGCGTGAGCTCCGTGTTGGTGTGAGCTGCACCTGCAGGCACAAATAGCTGTTATCACCTCTCTGAAATGGGGGATACACAGAGGGCCCCCCCACCAGAATTCCTGCTCTGCCACAGCAGGGAGGATGAGGATATTTTTTGGGGGGGCAGTGTCACCAAAAGCACGTTGTGTAGGCCAGAGAGGGGACCCCAGGAATTAGGTGTGGCCTGGGGTGTCACTGAGAAACTCTGATGGCCCAGAAACCCCTCATAAATGAGGGACTTTACCCTCCATGTTCCTTTTCAGTGTTGTCCCCTGGAGCAGGAGGGGAGGCTGCCTGGATTCCTGGTCCTAGGAGACAGCCTGGCATCTTCTGGGAAGGGGCACGGAGAGCGTGGAAGGAAGAAAAAACAGGTCAGTGTTTGGATGCAACTTCTCCAAAAGCAGGGAAAGAAATATCAGGTTTGTGCTGAAGGGAAAGCAGGTGGCCTGGGCATTCAATCCCATGAGCATTCCCGAATTCCTGGGAGTGTGGGGGCACTCGATATGAGATAAAGGAACCTGGGAAGGTACAATCAGAAACAAGCAGACTTTACTGGGAGTGAACCGTGAGGGTTTGCTCTAAAACCTGGTGGGGAGGATGTGACCCAAAGTGGAACTGCAAAACCAGGCGACGTTCTGTGCTGTGCTCTAGGCTGGTTGAGGATGTGGAAGCC